GACGCCCGAGTCGTAATATGGACGTTCCCCGGCAGTTCTTACCTCACGGCCAGGCTGCTTGAACAAAACGAGCCGCCGGGTGCCAAGGGAAACCCACATGAGAGTGGCCTCAAGCTTGGAGGTCCTGCTGCGAAACAAAAGGGCCAAGACCGCCACCGGCCTGCTTAATTGTGGCCTTGCACAGCACTTTGGTTCAAGCAACCTACTTTTGTGGCGTCCCAACTCCTATTTCTTCCACCTGTTGTTTTCCCTTTGACAAAGGGTGTTGGAGACCGGACAAAGACCAAGGGAGGAGAGATTCCTCCCCTCAAGGGAAAAATCCCCCCCCCCCGGCACCGCACCTCCCAACGCCTCCCAACGCCTCCCCCCAGCCGCGCGCCTCGCCGCTGGCGGAGGCTGCGGTAAGCCCCATGCCGCTCAGCGAGCGCGTGAAGCTCGCGAGCTCCTAGCCATGGAGTCACCGCCCCGTGGTTTAGCCCAACAAATCGCCCCAAGTGAACCATAGAAAGGTCGCGCCCCAACAAATAGCCCTATCAAGAGCCACCTCCCCCCCCCCCAAACAAACAAACAATCCGAAAGTGGGTATACATGGTCATTTTGAAAACCATTGGGGGTGACCCAACAAATAGCCCTATGAATTGGTTGGTTACATGGTCATCCGAAAGTGGTTGGTTACATAGTCATTTCGACAACCCCAAAATGGGTCATCCCCAAAGAACATATTTGAGAGTATCCTTTTCGGGGTATAAAGTCAACGCCGAAAGAAAGTCATGATGGTGCAAAAGTCCATAAACACTTTCAGCTAGGTAGGAGTTTGAAACCCAAGCCTTTGTGTTTTCCCTGGCTCTTGGGCGAGCCCCTGGTTTTACACACATAACTGGTTGGTTTTGCAGCGAATAATGTCTGTGGACCCCCGCAAAAGAAAACATGTCATTGCTATCTTCCCCTTAAAAACGGCGCCCTCAACTATTTTTTTGGTGGGGAGATCGTTTTGCGGCTTGTGCTCAGAAGGAACCCACTGAATAACTACTAAAGGGACACAGGGAATGCACGCGCGTTGGGTATATTCTTTAACATATCGACAAACTCATGTCGGTATGAGCTCCTTGGTTTAAGGCATTCATTTGAGGAACGCTGCGGGAGCGCGGTATTTTGGCCAGCGGATTCATTAGCTTTTGGCAGTGGACATACTTGCCAGCCATGTCGGCGCTGAGATGCGCAGCCGAATTGCGATTGCCCTTTTTACTTTCTGGCAAGAGGACAGCTGGCAAGCGTGATGATATGCGATGCTGTTTTCAACATGTCCATAAACGAGCTCCAGCGCTCTCCCCTTTAAACGAGCTCACAATGGCCAAAGAGTTAACACACACGTTCAAGCGCTTTCCCGTTCCTTTAGCGCAAGCCTACAGCCCTGCACACAATTCAGATGACCGTGTACAAGACATCTTTTTGCGGGAAGGTTTCTGGCTCATGGCTTTCCACAACCAATTTCTTCTCGTGTGAATAGCGGTAATTTGTGTGTCACCGCTGCTTGGTCTCTTTTGCTCCTACTATGTGCTTCATGTGGTTTACGAAGACTTCGCCTGGGTCAAAACGTGAGGGATCGTTAACGGAGCAGTTGCTGTGTCGTTCTGCGCTTGTGCTGTTCTCACTCGCACATGTCGGGTATATATCCAGCACTTATTTCATGCTCCAACGCATGCTTAGCTTGTTTCAAGTACGTCCTTGCAACATCCTAGCAGTCCAACGTGCTTCTGGCATTCATACAAAGAAAATGTCGAGCAAAGTCTGATATGACCAGCTTGCTTCCAATACATCCCAAGCACACTTTTAGTTCTGTCGCAGCTCAGGAGGTTTAGCTCTGTCCACTGTCGCGGGCCAATCTTAACACGGCGAAATGCCTAGCAAGTCATTCGTAGGTCTACAGAGTTGTCCCTTCAATCTCATATAGAGTATTTGGGTATGGGTCAAAATTTTACCACCAGGGGACCGCAGGTTTTAGTCCTTGTTTCCTTTTCCGAGGTTGCGTTTTGGGGTTCGCCTATTTTTTGACTCACAGCCTTTTTTTTTATGTCTGGCAAACTGCCTCTCTCCAGGAGCATCTGGCGTGTCTATGGGCCTACTGGGTGGCTTTAGGCTGGGCGTTGCCTGGCTTTCGACGTGGCTTGTGGCTGACTTGTCGTGGCTCGTGGGGCTTGTTTCGCGGTGCCATGCGGGCCCATTGTGACAGTGCCCAGCGCCAAACTGGTCCTGATGCGGGGCGGAGGTTCCCCCTTTTCCGTGCCAACCAACCGACCAAATCAGGCATCAAGCAAATCCACGGTTGACGGTCTGAAAGCAACACCTTGAAGAAAAAGACACCAATTTTCCCCCCCCCCAAAAAAAAAAAAAACGACATTTAGGGGAAAATCCATATTCCTGGCCCCCAAATGACCATGGGTCACGTTTCCCCTTTAGTGGTTGAAAAATATCACATCTTTTTCGCTGTTTTCCAACCAACGGTCATGCGATCTTATCACGGCTGAACCAAGCCCCAACCAGACTCAACGCCAGGTCTCGGGTCCTTCTGGGACATCTGCGGGAGAACGCTCGCGCCATACTCGGCCTCAAGGACAGGCGAGCGCCGAGCGCAAAGCCGAGCCAAGCCGAGCTCATCTTGTTTGAGGCGAGTGAACACGAAATCTACCGCTTTTGCCCAATCAAAGATAAATTAACAAGCATATCTTGATTCTGGCCGCTATGCATATCCCGAAGAAAGATGGGCCTCTCCTGCTCCCTCGTCTGCTTTTTGTGCCGCCTTTGAATGGGGGCTCTGAACAGGTTGCCGCACTCACACCCTCATTTTCATGCGTAAGTTTGTCGGTTTTCTCGAGCCTTCCAAACGCGATTGAAATTATGTTTCCAGAAGAAACTCTCACACATCCGTCACAAGTGTGGGACGCCTTCCTTGGCCGCTAAATGACACAGACACAAAGAACAAGCTCTCGCTCCAAGTATGTCTAAAATGTGCAGAGCCCTGCTGGTATTGCAACCCCAGAAAGAGCTGGATTTCTGACCCACAATACTGGAGCCTGCACCAAATACTGCCTAAATGCTATTTAAACCGGGCCCTGAACACACTTCAACCCTTTCTGTGAGCAAACAACAGCCCCTCAGAGGAATCTGGGTGAAGAATGATACTCATAAAATCAAAGAACAATAAGGAATCTCTAGGAAAGGAACCTTCGTGGGTGTCGCAAACCCTCTTAAGCCCAAATGAGAGCATTTACAAAACAAACAAACCACGAGGCCCTTCCTATTTGGGAACGTGTCAACAGGTTCGGGAGCTTTGGGCATTTGCAGAAAAAACCACCTGTCACAATAAACAAATTGTATTTTCTGAAGGGGTCTGCCCAAGACCAAGTAAAGAATCCAAACAACGGCCGCCCTTCATCTACCCAGGTTGTGACCATGGCTCACCTTACACATGCTGAAGGGCCCTGATTCTGCCAGCAGTGGCAATATGCTCCTGGCGCAAACAGCGGCGCTAGGTCTCCCACAAGCGTCTCCAGCAGGTGGGGCGAAGCTTGGCCCATGGTCAGCATTGCCCTGGCGCCGAGGGAGGGTCTCTTCGCGACATACCTGAAACATGCTGAAGAAAGAAATGCAGAGCACACCCAAAGTTCCCAAAGATGAGGTTCCAATGGTGGTTTGCCTTTGTGCTGGTCACAAGAAGTTTGTGTCAAAAGCTTGGGGCTGCCAACATGCTTGGTTGTACGTGTCCTTCTTGTGTGAAGGCCCGCCATCCTTGACGACTCCCCAATTTGGATCAGGCAAGCGCCACGCTCAGCCTTACAAACCTCTAGGGGACCTTCCCCATTCTTTCCAGGGATCCTTCTTTTCAGGAAATCAAAAATCCCGGGGAAACCGCCGTTCTTTGAAAAGAACCATGGTTGCAAAGAATGGAAGAGGAATCAACCCCTAGAAAGGCTCAGGATTCACCAAGACTAAAGAATCGCTGCGTCTCTCAATCGTGCCCCCCCTCTACAAATAAATGTGCTGAAGCTGCTGCGGATGGACGCAGATCTCTGCATCAGTTGGTAAGTCGCTTGTCCCAGGATTCATATGGTTGCATCCATCCCAACTGGGTGCAGGATCTTGTCCATCCACAGTGGTCCATGTTGGTTTAATGAGAATGTAAGCACTCAAGTTTAGATTGCTGTCATTAAACTTGACTGGCCCCAGACGGCGCACATCTTGCTTCGCAAACCAAGGCGCGTGATTCGAATTCACCAAGCTTCCTCACGCGCTGTCACCCTGTTCCAGAAGTCAAGCGACCGCAAATCGCATGGTGCTTCGCCCATCACCCTGCAAGAGGTCATTCCTCTCAAAAGGAGTTCTATATGTATAAATATATATATATATGTGAAATACATTTCCGTTTGATGATCAAAAACATGTTGCCTGCGTGAAACTACACGAACATGCGCTCCTTTCTTTTTTCGGGCTCTGGCTCGCTACAATGCTGCAGTGCGCTCCATTGGCTTTATCCTACGATGAGAAGTCATCCTGACCATAGCCAGCCATTCAAATCATCGCTAGCTTTCAAAGTGATTGAAACACGCGGCAGTTTGTTCAAAATTGACTGAAATACGTCAACTAGTGGCTGTTGTTCAAAATGAAACACGTCAACTAGTGGCTGTTTCTTCAAAACCGCCAACCATGAGCTCCTTTCAATGTGCACAACTCACATCTCTTTTTCTTTCCTTTTTGTTACAGCCGTTTGGAAAACCCTTTGGCTTACAACAGCAACACACGGAGGAACGTATCAAAAAATAAAAAGAAAACAAAACAAACTGGCTTCATCATTTTATCATGATCAAAGTCACCCCCTAAGTCGTGGGTTACAGCGAAATACCCCCATGTTCTGACTTTGATAACCCCCAGAAACTGTCAAACAAAAATCTGACCCCAGACAGAACCCGCTGGCTTCCCCCCCCTCCCCTCCCCCGTATGGTGGACACTTAGGGTCTATTTTGCAAGCTCCGTTGCAAAATAGACCCCAAGGGTGCCCATGGCACCCCCCCGCCGGCCCCCCAAAGATCCCAAAGACCCGTCGCAGCCGAGCGGCTTGGACAGGATCACCAGCTCGGAGGCGCGGAGTCCAGGGATACGCCGCACCGCCTGCGACTCGAGGCGTCAAGCCGAAAGAATTCGCCGGGGGCAACCACCCAGAGGTGAAGACAACTCTAAGGGTTGATCCCTTGTCCATTTTTTTCAATATTATTTTCAAAAGTCAGCTGCTTCCCCAGGGTGTTGGGTGGTTCTTTAGAAAGAAGGAGGCCGGGAAAGAATGGGGAAGGTAGCCCTAGAACAACACGTTGTTTGCGCGTGTTGCAGGGTGTTTTGAATGTGTCAAACTACATTTGCTGTTTTTTTCCTGCGCCGATTATTTCAAATCACCTTGTTCTGCTGGAAAAGGACAGAGCAGCCAAAGAAACGGCACGAATCTGTGCCACCAATAGGTGATGTTTAAGTCTCAAATCACCAAGGGGAATGGAGCTTGACCCATAGATATCCAGGATGGAACATAAGAACTGCTTTGATAGCTAGCTTTGACATTGTGCAGTGGTTGATGGTCTTTTGCAATGAGCTGAAGTCAAACTGCAGTAGCACACCATGTTAGCCAGCTTGGTGGGTTCAAATCTAGTTGCGCGCCAGTTCGATGATCATCAACATGATCTCTGCACATGGTGACTGCTTTGAAAGCTTGCGACTTGTTGCAGACCGCGCGCCTGCCATGGGTGTCTGAGCGGTCAAGCACCTGGTTTTATGTAAGTGGAGTTCGACGCTGTACGCGCTTGCACTCCAATGACAATTCGAAGCACGTGGCTTGCGGCAAGAGTGCTGCGAACTTCAAACGCAATCTTGCAAGCCTTCACAAGTCCGGAAGAAGATTGCAATACACAACCAAACAGCACAAAACAAGGTTGGCGGTTGGCCCTCACGCGCTAGCGCAAAGAATGAAGGCGAATCATCTGGAAACGGAGCAGTGGTGGCACGTGCGAACTGTCAACTCCAAGCAGGGCTCCTAAGTGCCTTCTGCCTAAAAAAAGCGATCAAACTCATGCGCATGGCGACGAGCCTTGGCAAACAAAACACAAAGGAGTCCATGTGCCTTACGAACATGTGTTGGATGCAGGATGTTTGACTTCCACCGGGACTGTGAAATACCTCCTTGCCCATTCTCTCCATGCACGAGTAAATTCAATCTCTGAAGCAAGAAACCCCGCTGTGAATGATCCACCCTGTGAATCCCCGAACAATCGCTATACCGCCATGTGTGACAACACCCGTGTGGGCGACAGTTTGATTGGGCGAATGTAGGCATTCCCTTTGCGCTTAGACATGCTGTATTCGAATCCTAGTTTGGAACTGTCTCATCCCTGCATTGTGTTCTAGGGCCCTAGGGAAATCCATTGGTTTCACACAAATCTCTGAGAAACTAAACAAAAAATGGGTGCTCCGCTCGGAGGTCCGGCTGTCAGTGTGAGTGCAAATTCAAAATGCACAAACATATTTTTTGTTGCTTTCGGCTCCCCTGCTAAAAGTTTAACTTTTCCTGGTTTAATGGACAACCCATTCGTTAGCAAGAAAGTTAAAGTCCTAACATCCAAGCAAAATGCAAACATATTGACATGTCTAAGCACCCCTATCAGTCGCACCAATGCGAAAGCAATAATCATGTGTGTCACCACGTGTACATGTCAATGTGTCAGTACAGCACACTGGTTTTGAACCACTCTCTTCCTGACCCCAAAACCATCCAAACTGCTTTTCAGACCGCTAAAGTTTGCTCTTCCCCAAAAGTACAAAGTTGATGAACTCAGGAAGTGAGACCCAGGTCCGAGATATCACAAGCAATGCAAAGCACCGGCCCTTGACGACCCAGGCGCACCTCCTCCGCCACATCCTGAAGTATCTGCTGCTCTCATGTCTGAGAGATCCCTAAGGGCAAATGGCTTCCACCTGGAGGTGCCGCCTAAAAACGTCCTGCAAACTAGCGGCCACACATTTGCTTCTCTATCAAAAACCAACAATGACAGCCTGAAGATTGGCCATGACCTCCAACTGGCAACCTGATAGCCTTCCAGTGGCTAAAACTAGTCCCGAGCGGCAAATAACTGAATCTGCCAACTCAAAACCAGGTGGTACAAGGATCAACAATTAATTGCTCCAGGGATCAACGCAGTAATGGCTCCAGCAAAGCTATCTTCAACAAGTTTGCTTCAGGGAAAACGTGGAAAGCCGATGTCAACTCCAAGGGAACCCGCCAGATCGCAACTCCGAAGCGGTCCTGCGCCAAGGTTTGCTCGATGGGCGCGGCCGAAAAGGTCTTCACCAAGCCTCAGGCTGAGCTCAGTGTGGCCAATTTGAAAAGCAGCCCTTGCCTCTCTGAACATGCAGCAATACATATGTATATGGAGATGTGTATGTTGTTTAATATGAATATGTACGAGC